TTCTACTTCATTAAAAGTTATTTCAGGCAGGCCAAAGCGCCTGCAAGCCTGTGCAGGGGCCGGAGGTTTGATCCCGGGGCCTCCTGCCGCCCCAGCCCCAGGGCGCCCTGAGGTGGCGATTGAGAGGAAGCGGCGGCGTGTGCCTGTAATCCCAGCACTTGGGAGGCTGTAGACAGGTGAGTCACTATGAGTCCGATCTAGTAGTGAGACACTGCACACCCTGTAAACCCTTCTCTAAAATACAAAAATAAATAAGTAAATAAACAAATAAATGTTATTTCATAGGTGCTACTCCTGGTTGAGGGCGATCCGCACCTAAGGCAGGAAGATTGTGGCCACAAGAAGACAAAAAACTCTCTGGAGTCCATCAATTCTAGGCTTCAACTTGTTATGAAAAGTGAAAAATACGTGCTAGAGTACAAGCAGATGCCTAAGATGATCAGCCGGGGCAAAGTAAAATTGGTCATCCTTGCCAACAACTGCCCAGCCTTGAGGAAATCTGAAATAGAGTACTAGGCCATGTTGGCCAAAACTGGTGTCCACCACTATAGCGGCAATAATATCGAGCTGGGCACAACATGTGGAAAACATTACAAAGTAACAGACTGGTGAAAAATAAATCACACAAAATTTTTCATTAATACAGCTTGCCAGAGCTAAAAAAAAAAAAAAAGTTATTTCACAGGATATTTTATTAACACATTATTTCATTAAATATTTCAGGATCAAACTTTTTCTTTTTTTAATATGGAACACTTCACAAATTTTTGCGCAGGGGCTATGCTAATCCTCTCTGTATCGTTCCAATGTTAGTATACGTGCTGCTGAAGTGAACACTGTTTTTGTTTTTGTTTTTGCTTTTGCAGTACTGGGAATTGCCAGCAGGTACTAATGCTGCTGAGCTATCTCCCCAGCCCTAAACTTTTTTTAAATTTAAAAATAAAATGAAATGACTTTCCTTACCTCTTGTCCATTTTAATGGTCCACTAAATATAAACAACAGTTATAGGATCAGAACATTTTCCACCTTTTTGTCAGTACACAAAATTTAAATTAGGCAAAATCAGATATTTATTTGTTTGTTTATTTTGGTACCAGGTGTGGAACTTGGGACTCTGTGCTTGCCAGGCAGGCTATATCCCCAGCTCAGTAGGAAGTTTTAATTTTTAGTACATAGGTAACAATGGGTATTTGGCAAAAGTATCTATCAGAGAATACTGCAAATTTTTAAACTTGTATTTTGTTCTCTCCTATATTCTGACCTGTGGATCGCTGGCCCATCGATGGGCTTTCCACAGTTGGTTAGTAAGGTTAACAAAGCTACAGTACAAAAACACCCTCACTAGTTGCGTAGGCCAAGTACTGTAGTTCTTGAGAAACTGCATTTGACCCAGTACAGTGCAGGGAATAGTAAGAGAGAAATACCAGAAGGAAGCCTTGGTTGTTCTTGCTTGGGTGCTGAGAATTCCCTTTTTTTTTTTTTTTGTCGGAACCGGGGATTGAACTCAGGCCCTTGTGCTTGCCAGGGAAGCGCTTATTCTACTGAGCTATCTCCCCGGCCCCTACTCCTCCTTTTTGGGAGCTGGTGGAATACAAGAAGTGAGAAGAAGAATGAGAACTGAGAAATGAGAAGAAATGTCCACTGGTGTCATCAGTGGACAGAATGTGAAGAAAGCAGATCCTGGCTTTGCGACCCTAAAGTTTTATGAGAAAGAAAAAAATACCTCCAGCAAATAGAAAGACAGGAATATTTTTGTGAAATTAACATCTGATTAATTATATGTTTTGTACCATTTCAAAAAGTAAGCCAAAAGAGAAAAACCGTTCATCAGACTTCAGTCTGCTGGGGGATAAGCACAGTTTACCAAGCATGAAATTATGTTGCTTTCCTCACAAAAAAGTAAAAAACAGCAACAAAAACTCCCCGACAAATGCAAAAATCTGATCTAAAAGTGATTAACCTGTCAGTAATTTCCAGCCTCAGAGAAAACTCTCTTATAGATAACTCAAAAATAATTCCCTAGTTTCCACTATTTTTCTTATCTTATTTAAAATGCAACTTAATAAAGTTACTCCTTGATTAAAAATAGTTGGTTAGATTCTCATTGTTTTTTATTTCTTTCATTTTTTTCACTGGACACTAAATAATTGCAGACCAACAGTATGTCCAACCATGATGCACAAGGTATTTTAGAATAGGACCTTTTAAAATCAAGATGTGGTTGGTACGTAGGTACACTAATATGGGAAGGGGAACCAAATCTATGCCCTTTTGTACTCTAGTGCCATTTTTAAGTTTCAGCTTCCTTAAGTTTATTTCTTGTAAATGTTGTCATAACCTGATACCACCCCATGCTTTGTCATAAGACCGCTTGTCCCCTATGGAGAAAATGTCAAGCACCTCTATTCCTTTGTCACAAGCTAAGCTCATGCTTTGTAGGAGTTATTTGTGCAGCTGTCCTAAATCATATCAGAGGGGCCAGCGAGATAGCTCAGCAGGCTAAAGTGCCTGTAAGTTTAGGCAAGCACGGGGACCATGGTTAAACCCCCCCCCCCCAAAAAAAAAAAAAAAAAAAAAAAAAAATGGATGCTCAGGCAAGCACAGGGACTGCCACCGATAGATCCCTGGCACCACATCCCCCCCCGCCACCACCACCACAGTGGGCTGAGCTGGCCAGAGTCCAGAAATAGAAGTGCATGCCTATAATCCCAGTGCTGTGGAGGCTGAAAGCAGTGGGATCACCACAAATCCGAGCTGTGTAATGAGATACTGCAACAACCAAATACATTAAAAACCAAAAAACAACCCCCCGCAAAAAAAACCCTAATCTCCCTCCCTAGACCTGGAACTAGACCAGAACTGTAACTGTATAACTATTGTCCTCTCCTGCCCTTCAGGGTTAGTGTCTCTGCAGCTGGCCTCCATAGGTGACTCAATTACAAAAGCGCATTTGCCTCAAAGATGCCAACTCCTCAGGATGGATGGGGAGTATTCATTATGGATTGCAAGTATATAATTTAAAAGTAAGTGCGATATAGTAGAAGGAAAGCTATTGAGACTTTTGCTTATCATTGCTAAACGAATGGAAGAGCCGTGTAGCTCCCCAGCATCACGCGTGTGACACATTCCTACACCTGCTGGAGCAAGAGCTGTCTGTCACATCCCTGCCTTTTCAGTGCACCACGTGAATTGAGGAAATGGTCCCCAGTCAGACACATTAACCTCGTGCATTACAAAAAATTATTTACTGATATACATTCTGTATCTACAGGATAGATTGCATTGAAACTGGTGAAAAGTATGTTACAACATTATTTATTTAGTGAATAACATCTGGTTGAAAATATTCTAATTTGAAGAATTTTAGCTTCCATTGTGATAGAAATTTTCTTTTTCTTGCTGTATCTGACCACTAGTTGACACGTAATTCTTTTATTGCACTAAAGAACAATCATTTTGCTATGAAATTGTTAGAAATACATGAAAGTCCAGCTATTACAGCCATCAGTACCATCTGTGTCACAGGAATTAATTATAAATCAAGTAATATGCACATGTAACTCAATGACTTGGATATAGTGTAAGATTAACTAATATAAAACCTTGAGTTATTCATGTTTTATCTATCTATCTATCTATTTATTTATTTATTTATTTATTTATTTATTTATTTTTGGTGGAACTGGGGATTGAACTCAGGCCCCTGCGCTTGCCAAGCAAGCGCTTACTTCACTGAGCCATCTCCTCAGCCCCTACTCATCTATGTTTCAATGCCATTGGAGTTATTGAATGCTCAGCAACTAGGGCTCTCTGAATTACTCTGTGGTCTAATTAATAGAAATGATTCAGTAAACAAGTCTGACTACAAACCTCCCAACCTCCTATAGTACTGCCCAAAGCCTGACCCTTACGTTAAATATATGTTGATTTCTGTGAGAGACTATGTGAGAATTACGGCTACAGTGAGCCACTATGAGATACAAAATGTTTTCTCAAAGTCTTTTGTGTCAGAAAAAATAATGAGGAATCACTGCTGTAGAAGTGAAATTAGTTGTGTCAGAGACCAACTTTACTAACCTTCTGATTTTCAATACAGTACAAAGTATTGCTCCTGATAAATTTTTTCATAATTAAATTACATGATCACATTTTTTTGCAGTGTAGAATATTGTTGATTTCATAAAACTTTCATACTGGATTGTATATATATATATATATATATATATATATGTCATACTTCAATCTAGATAATATGTAATTTATAGAGTAATAGTAGCTGCAATAAAAACTACATATTCAAGATGGAGACACAGTTTTGCAATAGAACAATAATTAATCTTTTTTTGTGTGTGTGGGACCAGGGATTGAACTCAGGTCCTTGCGATTGTCAGGCAAGCGCTTATTCTACTGAGCTATCTCCCCGTCCCCATGAATTTTATTTTAGCTACTTTATTTTTTCTGTATTTTAGGGAACGGTCTACAAGGTGTTCAGGGTCTCACTACTAGATCGG